TGCCTCCCCCCCCACCCTTAGACCTCCACTCACCCCACCCCCCAAAAGAAAACAGCTTGTTCTGGCTGGTGTTGTGGCAACACTTTGTGCTTCAGTCTCAGTCTCTGAATACTCAGTACTAAAAGAACTGAGGATGGATCTGGAGTAGGCTTCCGTGTGTATATGGGTCCAGCAGGCCTGAAGCAAGGAGACTGACATCCAATTGGCACTAGGTTCTGTCATTCTGTATCTCCTTCCCTGGTCCATTCCCTTCTCTAGAGCTCTAAATTAGAGCAGAGACTAAAGCCAGACAGCGACAGCTTTGAGGGCAAGCTCCAGGAAACTGCTATCAATGTTCCCTGAGCTATAGGGGAATGTAAGGAAAAAAGACTGAAATGACCAGAAATCTCAGGAAGAAGAAAACTTACTCAAATATCTTAAGCATAGGCAGATAGACCAACAGGGAAGATACTAACAGAAGGATAGGTGGCCTCCAGATCTTCTGAATGAGTCCAGACACCCATGAATAAACGTCAACATCTGATGAGGTAGAGGACTGTGTGAATTCCCAAGGGAGCATGGAACCACAGCAGAATGTTCCTTAATGTTATAAGAGAAAAATAAGAATTGTGAAAACAGAATTTATGGCCTGCACAGCAGAAATAATTGACGGAGCAAAAAAACTTGAATCCATCATGGTAAACCTCACCCAAGAAACAGTAGAGAGAACAGAAGATTGGGAATTCAAACACACAGAAATGGACAGTCTGGAGGAATAGAAGCAAAAAGTATGAAAGAAGGCAGGAAGAAAAAAATGCTGAGGACAACAAGAGGAATTAAGACTATTGTGAGCTGGGTGGTGCAGTAGTTAGAGCACTGGGCCTGGAGTCAGGGGGACCTGAGTTTAAATCTGGCCTCAGACACTTGACACTAGCTGTGTGACCCTGAGCAAGTCACTTAACCCCGATTGCCTACCTGGAAAAAAAGAAAAAGGAAAATGTGACACAAGAAAAGAAAGGATCATAGGATTATGGACATAGAGCTAGAAGGATTAGTGATTATAGAATATAGTCCTCTCATTTTCCGGATGGGCGAATTGAGGCTGAGAAGTAAGTTGCCTAAGGTGATAAATAGCAGAACTAGGATTTGAACCTAGATCCTCTTGACTCCAAACCCAACATTTTTTTCACTGTACCATTAGTGGAAGCTCAAAAAATGAAAAGAAATCCTGAACTCCTAGATACAAGAGGTATGAGACTCTTCACATGAAGGGTAAATCAATTTTCTAAGAAGCTAAGATTACTTCTGTTACAGAACAGTAAGAAGGCTCTACAGCTGTGTGAAGGTGCACAGACTATTAATGTTTCTAGAAATGAGAGTAGTCATAATTAATGATTTCTTGCCAGGCAGTGCACAAGCATCCTTTTTTAGATCTGACATGGCCAATCAAGAGGCTTGTTCTTTTCCTCAAGCATGCATCTGAGATATAATAGAGAACTCACAACCACTACCCTTTGAAAAATATATTAATAACAAGCTGAACTGAGCCTCCATAAAAAACCTGGAAAGTAGCTATCATGATAATCAGAGTCCAAGGTAGGAAAATGAAGAACTTTGAAACACAGATTGTGGTTTTTTTTGCCACTTCTTTCGAGTAAAAGTTGGAACTTTGAAAAGGAAAGGAGATATTAAAAATGAAGAGATGAGACATAAGGAGTAATTGAAAATGGGATTTGAATCATAGTGTAGTGTACCAGAATGATGTCCTGGAACAGAGTGCATTTCATAGGTATTGTGAAGAATGTTTACTGAAAAGGCTTTAAACTGAAAATGTAGGTAGTAGAAGAATGCTCAGATAAATCAATTATGGTAGACAATAGGGGTGGGCAAACTATCTCATAAATTCAAATGTAGCTTGGAAAGATACTTATGATTTCAGATATCTGTATACCAAAGCACCATAGTATGTCATAGGATTATAAACTGGAAGAGAGCTGGAAATGACCCCTATTAATCAGTCATTCAATAAGCATTTGTTAAATGCTTGTTATGTGCCAGATGCTCTGCTAGGCATTTGCAATAAAACTACAAAGTAGGAAGAATCCTTATACTCAAGGAGCTTACATTTTATTAGGGGAGAACATATATACATATATGTATACACACACACAAAATAAACATTGTAGTTAGGGAGGGAAGTTACTAGTAATTGAGGGCATACTCAATGAAGTTAGCAGTAATAATTGCTAGTATTTCTATAACTCTTTAAGATTTAAATATTTCATTTTTCTTTCCAATTACATTCACTTTTAAAAATTTTGATTCTAAATTGTCTCCCTAATCTCCACCCTTATTGAAAAGGTAAGCAATTTGATATTTGTTATACATGTGCAGTCATACAAAACATTCCCCTGTTAGTCATGTTGTAAAAGAAAACACAGACCAAACCCAGGAAAAAGAAAGTTTAAAAAATTATTTTTTTAAATGACTGATATAATTTACCGAGGGCTGTTTAAAGAGCCCATGGTCATATCAGATTGAAAGAGAGCAGTCAATCAACAAGTTTTTATTAAGTGCCTTCCATGTGCCTGCTGTGTTAGGCTCTGGAGATATAGGTACAAAGAATGAAACAATTCCTACTCAGAATGAGCTTATATCTAATGGCAAGACAAGTACATAAAAAAATATAAATAGCCTAAAAATGTTAATAAGTACATATATATGTAAAAAAAGTAGTTAAATACTAAGTAGTTTGGGAGTAAGGGGATATAATCATAATTACTCCAAAAAAGTCACATGGTCCTGTGAAGAGAAGACATGGCCAGATTAGGTGGGTTTTACTTTTAAAAAATCCTTTAGGATAACAAAAATCACTTATTTAGGTATATTTAGAGGACAAAGAATAAGGAAGGGGGATATGCCTCTTGCTTGCAACAGATGACAGAAAAAACTACACTGTTCCAGTTCCCAGTTTGTTTCCATCTTCTCTGTCATGTTCTTCAGGTTAGAAGAAACATGATTAAGAGATGGATGATATAAGAAAGCGCACAGTTGTTTTAAATTATTTTCTCGCCTGACTCAGAAGAATCATTTACCAGCTTACAGAAATGACAGGATATTCTTACAGATGTATCTTTGTATCGTATTTAGAATTTATCAGTACTTTGCAGGAAATAGGCCCTAAATGTTTGAATGCAGTATTTTTTCAGGGACCCTTGAGAATTGCAGAGATAGTAGAAAACTGGAGAATGCAAAAAAAAAAATGTTTTTTTTCTAAGAGGAAAAGAGTAGATTCCAGAAACTGTCAGTGAGCTTGACTTTGATAACTGGCAAAATTTTAGAGGGGATTATTGGATCTTTACACCTTGTTACTTAGTGACTCTTTCTTGATCTTGTATCCATATAGTAATGAAAACAAGCTGAGTGTCCTTTTGTGATAGGAACCTTGAACAAATCATTCACCCAAGGTCTTAACGGTATTTAAATAGATCAGGGATTATAGTTCTTCATATCTTACCTTGCAACTTCTTGTCTTTTGTTTAAGCTTTCTATTCAGATTTTAAGATTTTATGTTTATTGATACATAGATGGACTCATTTAATAGCATCAGTTTTAAATGGATTGTACCTGTTTTTTCATTGGGAAGAAAAAACAAAACCAAAAGCTCCTATCAAGGAAAGTTCCCCTACCAATGCAGATCCGTGCCTGCTCCAACATTTATATAGACATAAAGATTTACCTGAGACTGACTCACCCAGGGTCACATAATAAATGTCAAAAGACTTTATTACTCTGAGACTGACTCTTTTGCAATGGCTAGAGTACTGGTCCTGGAGTCAGGAAGCCTTGAATTCAAATCCAGGCTCAGAGACGTAATGCTGTGTGACCCTGGACAAATCATTTCACCTCTGCCTCAGTTTCCTCACCTGTAAAATGGGAATAGTAACAGCAAGTACCTCCCAGGGTTGTTGTGAGGGTCAAATGAGATAATATTTGTAAAACATTTAACAGAATACCTGTAACATAGGTGTTTGTTTTCTTCCTTTTTTCCTCTCTTCCTTTTTCCTCTCTCTCCCTGCCATTACAAATCATGGCTGATATAGAACTTTATTTTGAAGAAAACTTGTTAAAATTTATTAGTTAGAAAAGGTTGGCAATGCTATAGATGTATGCTTTATCGTATTTTAATTTTCAATATTAGTGGTTCTGAGGTCCTATTTTGTGTATGACATCAAACTAAATATACTTACCTTTATCATTTCATCTTAGAATTTCAGATTTCATTTTAAATGTGCTTACTTTGCCTTTATTCGGTAACTGGTTATTTTGAATTGATATCTTTATCTCTAATTTCCTGATCTCCTACTAGAGAGAATTTGGGAATTTTACTTAAACTTGGATGCTGCTTTCTTATTTTAGTCTTGTCATCCTAGTGAGAAGAATATTTTTATCCTCTGTGTGTTGTGTGGAGAGCCCTTGTATGTGACACTGTAAAATACATATTTTCCAAAAGTGTGTTCTGGGATACAAGGGAATCTAAAGTTAATTAAGGAATTCTGGACACTATTTTTAGATGGCTAGAATAGAATGTATAGAACATTTCAAAGCAAATACAGCAACTTTTTATCACTTACCAGATGTTTTATGCAAACCTCAATTAGACGTGAATGAAATCTTTTCCATATGTATTGGTAAATACCCTTCAGTGTTATGAGTTCCTTTTATAGTGAGGTTCCTACATTTCAGTTTATCCAAGCCAAGAATTGGAACATCAATTTTTTAGGTACTTCCTAGGCTGTACTAAAGACTGCCAAAACCTTGGTGAAAAACTGAATTGGAAATATGCCTTCTCAAATCCCCAAATTCCATGTTGTTTGTGGCAGAGAAGGTATCATAGATAAGATACATAAGAGAAAATATCACCCGTGCTTTCTCCAGAATACTGTAGATCAGATTACATGAAGTCTTTGAGTTGTGTGCTTTACAAATTGCTATATATTTTTTCCTTTTCATTTTGACAGGAATCCTTTAGTTCTTCTATGCAGCTGCACCTTGTACATCAAGCTCCATATACCATTCCTCCTTACCTCTCAAAGAATGGGTCAGCTCTTGGGGACTTGTTATTGGGCTTCCTCAAATATTATGCCACAGAATTTGAGTAAGTCATACAGTTTATATTTGTTGACTTTTGTATAATTGAATGTTGTAAATTTGTTCTGAAAATGTTTTTTTGTAATTGGTTCAGAAATGAGTGCTTTATAGGCTAAAGGAGGAGGGTTGAGGTGATGCTTTTACACTATGAAATTAAAAGAGAGACAAAAACTCAATATTTTCACAAACAGTGGCTATCCCAGTCATAACTTTGATTTGTTTCAGAAAGTGAATTTCGTATACAACAACAAAAATATTTGAAAGGTTTTTTTCAGTATAACTCTTTAAAAAGTAGTTGTTTTATTATATATAATTCTGATGTGCAGTTCCTTCATAACATCAAAAGACAATGAAATTTTTGTGCATAAAAGAATAGGTTACTAACTGGAGAAAAAAGTATTCTTTTGATATAATTTCGTTTTGAAAAATCTTTCTGGGTTGGAGAGGGGAGAAGAATACTCTCCCTAGTAATAACACTTAGTTAAGCACTTCTTAGATATTCATTGTCTTCCAAAACCATTTATTAATGAACCAGAGTTTAGTTCTGTACAGAAAGGAATTATATGAAATCCTGCCTGCTGGGCTCTGATTATCTGAGGTGGAAAAAATTGATGTGGGTGAACGTGTGACAGAAAGAAGAGATTTATAGAGAAAAGGTAGTACTAGTTAGCTCATTTAATTCAAGTATAGTATTAATGGTGAAGCTTCTGTGTATTTACATGTATGTGTGTCTATATGTATATATAAATATACATGTACACATATGCGTATATAAAATTCATGATTTTGTTCTCATTCAAAGAATTGAGTCTCATATTCGTTTATTAAAAAGTTCATTTGTTTTCAGAATGTCTCCTCAAAGTTTATTGATGAATTATACACAGTAGTTGTAGAATATTAGCTAGAAGTTTCCATGTGGCAATATTCTTTAGCTGAGGATAGAATAGCTTGTTAATTTCTAGACTTATAGCCAGTATGTTTTGTTGAAGAATTTGTTAGTTTAAGGAAGACATGACCTAAAGATACTTCATTTTAAATCCCAAAGGTGAGAATATTTGTATTATGTCTCATGTTTTAGTGATTTGAATAAAGCTAAGGAGTACAAAAACATTTTAAAAGGAAATATAAGAAATGGAATTAATGCATATCATGAATTTTTTGTAGCCATTTTGTTCCATCCTGGGAAATTTTTTTTTCTTGAGGCAGCTGGAGTTATATAACTTGCCCAGGGTTACCCAGCTAATAAGTGTTGAAGGATAGATTTGAACTCAGATCCTCCTGACTTCAGGGCCAGTGCTCTATTTACTGTGCCACCTAGCCTCCCCATTGTAACACAAGAGGCACTGGAGACATCACTGGAGTTTTTGGGCTCCAGCCTCTAACAGGTTCACTCTTGATCTGGGCAGACAGGTAGACAGCTTCGGAGGGGTTAAATAATGATTTATTCTTACTATTCTATCACAGTGGGTTCCTGGTAATGGGAGCACCAACTCCTACAGGATTCCCCAATCACCTTTCTCGCAGGGGCGGGCCAGAAGAGGGTAGTGGGCAATAACCCCTGTGACTCGATGGGGGCTAGTTAAGACAGGCACAACATTCCAGCTGGTGCATTCCCCTAAATCCCCCCCCCAAGCCTTAGTGGGGGTCAGTTGAGGCAGTCATACATGCATTTATCTGTGCATTCTCCAAATCCCAAATCCCACTCACTGACCAGTGCTTTCTTGATTTATAGAGAAGCAAACAAAGAAGGCGATTAGCCAGTAATAAGCTCACAGGTTAACTTTAGCAATATCATCATAACTTAGCACAGCACAAATGTAGTAAATATTACTTTATGTCATCCTTGTATCTCATTGCACAGTTGTGGTAAACATTGTTTTGGCCCTGGATCCTGGGAACTGTTACCTAAAAAAGAATAACAAAATCCTCCTTACACCCATCCTGGGAAATTTTAAAATATAGAGTTGATAGAGTTAAATGATCAGTTGTCAAGATACCTAAAAGAGAAGAGAAGGAGGGTAGCAATATGAGTAGGAAAAAAACAGATCTCTCTCTCTCCCTCCCTCCCTCACCTCCCCTCTTCCCCCCACCATACACACACAGAATAAGAACTGTCAACCCATATGTCTACTTTCCCAGTGTTACAAAGTATCTCTAAGTATAATCTGTGTACACATTGAGGGTATCCTTATTGAAGGAATGTGTAAGGAAAAGGTATTTTTTCACAAAAAGTACTCTGCAGCAGTCTTCAGACTTTTAAAATCATCTTCCTTCTACTAAGTCCATGAAAGAGTTAATTAGAGGCTGGTATTAGTGGTGTAGAGGAGCCAAATGTTGCAGAAGTAGAATTGACAAAACCTCAGTTTGTTCATTTCTAAAATGAGGAGCTTTGATTAGAGTATATTGATTAGAATATTTTAGTTTATATTCGAGAGCAGTGTTGCCTTGGGCTGCCATACTTACTGAGTAAAGAGTTTATTTGGGAATGAGTCAGTTTATGGGCTTTGTTTTCTTTCAGGAAATTTATTTCCATTGATTAAACTTCCTTAGGAAATGTTGATTATGTAAGTGTCTATTCTTTCACTTGTATACTATTTTTAGGCATTAGCAGCTTGGTTTTTTTTTTTAAGAAATGTATTTTCAATTTATTATTTATTTTAAGCATTATTTTCTTTTTAAATTGAGTTGCAAATTCTCTCCCTGCCTTCATATCCTTTCCCACCCACTGAGAAGACAAAGTAAAAAGATATCAATTACACATGTGAAATCATGCAAAACATATTTCCATATTAGCCATATCACAAAAAAAGGAAGAAAGCAAAAAAAACCAAAAATAAGAAAATTATACTTCTGTGTTTGCAGAGTTCACATTTCTGTCTCTGGAGGTGAGATCACAGTTTTTCATTATGAGTCTTTTGGAATTGTCTTAGATCATTTTATGATTACCATTACAGCATTGCTCTTATTGTACACAATGATCTGATTCTTCTTACTTTGCTTTGCATCAATTCATATAGGCCTTGCCATGTTTTCTTCTGAACCCACCTCTTGCCATTTCTTATAGTACAGTAGTATTCCATAACAGTTATATGCCACAACTTGTTCAGCCCTTCCTCAGTTGGTGAGCATCTCCTCAATTTCCAATTCTGTGCTACCACAAAAAGAGCTGCTATAAATATTTTTGAACATGTAATTCCTTTTTCTTTTTCTTTGATTTCTTTTGGGTACAGACCTAGAAATGGTGTTGCTGGGTCAAAGGTTATGCACATTTCATAACCCTTTGTGTATATTTCCAAATTGTTTACCAGAAAGTTTGGACCAGTTCACAATACCACCAACAGTTTATTCATGTACCTGTTTTCCCTCATTCCTTCCGGCTTTGTCATTTCTGACAGATATGAGGTAGCACTTCAGAGTTGTTTTGATTTGGTTTCTCTAATCAATGGTGATTTAGAGCATTTTTTCATATGACAGTAGATAGCTTTGATTTCTCCTTGTGAAAACTGCTTGTTCATATGCTTTGACCATTTATCAACTGGGGAATGACTTTTATTTTTTATAAATTTGATTCAGTTCTCTGTATATTTGAGAAATAAGGTCTTTATCAGAGAAATTTTTATCAAATTTGTAAATTTTTGTGATTTGTGAAATTTTTGTAAAAAAATTTTTCAACATTACTTCATTGTCTTCATGGTACCTTTTAGCAGATTGTAGTTCCCTGATTATCTCTTTTAATTAGGTCTGTTTTTCCCATTGCCCCAGAAGAGTGATGTGGCTGGGGATATCAGAAGTCTCACTATATCTGCCATTTTCAACTTTCAGAGCCAACTGACAGTAATCTTTATATGTGCCCGTGTATATATCTGATCCTTGGTTCCTAGCCTCTTCGACAAAAATAAAACTGGACCGTTGGGTATATTTTGGAAATGTGGCAGAATTGATGAACGAGAGTCCCTGTGTAGCAGTATGCTGTATAGTAATGGCTTTCAGCCTCTTGTTCAGAATTTAATTGCTGTCAGATTTCTATAGATAAAGGACTTGCCTACAGAAAACAATGAGAAGAGTGATTATTGACCCTTTCAACTGTGTACATTGATTGAAAGACTCCTGGCTGCTGTTCTCAATTATATGTGTTAATGGACCAAGGTTGTTCTCTATATAAGATGCAACTATTAATACCACAGTGGATTGATATCTGCATAATGATCGACGTTATTTATAGTTCTGTCACTACAATGGCATTCTGTAAATGGCATTCTTTTATGTCGCCTGTTGATCCAAAGGAGGAGTTTCTATTGCATATAGTAGAGAGCAGACTTGGTAAATGATTTCCCAAGTTCCTTTCTGTATGATTGGGGTGGGGGTGAATTGTATCCTTATATGAGAACATTTCTGTAACGAACATTTTTTCATTTGAGAAAAATGGTTGGATATTATGCAAAGGTTCATAAAAATTGTATTTTTATCTACTAATGCTTTAGACATGTTTTACCTAGCCAACTCAATATGTACTGAGTTTTATCTGTAGTTTTACTGTATTTTCCAACTTTATGAAGTCAATCTATGCAGTACATATACAGAGAAATTGCTAAGATTGTATGTAAGAGTGTTACAAGAAAAGTATTGTTTTCAGATCCCGTTATAAAAAACATGAATTCTTATAGATTTTCTCAGTTAAAACAAAGAATTATAAGGAAAGTTGACTGCAGTATTTCCCCTTGAAATCTGGATCTACATGTGTGTTAAGCTTTTATTCAAATGATTGATGGTTGATGGTTCCTGGGTTTCATTGATTGAGATCTCAAGTCTTTAATAGTGAAACAGTTTTATTTTTGTTGCCAGAAATTCAAACTACATAAAAAAAAAGACCTTGAAAATAAATCACTTGATCCAAACAAATGATTTTTTTTTTGATAACTTGATCTGGTGTCTTTTAGATGTCCAAAGATATGTAACTGCTATATGCAGGTATTGAGCTGTATCAAATTCACCAATTTAGTATACTCTATTCTTAAAAATATTTGTTGCAAATTGTTTTCAGGTTGAACAAAAGAATAACATCAGTAACTTTTAAAACAACAAATTATAAAAATAATTTATGTACTCTGTGAGAATGCAGTTATTTTTATGGGTCTTCAAGGTGAAAGCAAAAAGGGAAATTTTCATGATTGAGTATACTTAAAATTTCATTGTTTCAACTGAAGTTCAGTCAATTTCAAAGTAGAGTTAAAAACTTGTGAAAAATTTAATTTTTTTTAGTGGGTTCCTTGTGTTGGCAGGTTGTAGACCAACTTAATACAATTCTTGCTCAAAAAAAAAATTAAGTCTGTTTTTGTTTTTGCTTTGTCTGAGATCATTATTCCTACCTCTGCCCTTTCTACTTCAACTGAAGCATAATAGATTCTGCTCCAGTCCTCTATTTTAACTCTGTGTGTCTTTCTGTTTCAAGTGTGTCTCTTGTGCACAACATATCATTAGATTCTGGTTTTTAATTCATTCTGCTACCTATTTCCATTTTATGAGTGAGCTCATCCCATTTACATTGTTTTTCTCTTTTTATCCTGTCATTCCTCAAAAGTCTGTGTTGCTTCTGACCACTGCCTCCCTTAGTCTACTCTCCCTTTTATCACTCCCCTCCCCATATCTCTTTCTTATTCCCTTCCACTCTTGGGTAAGATAGATTTCTGTACGCTACTGAGTGGGTATATATAGTCTTCCCTCATTGAACCAATTTCTATGAGAGTGAGGTTCAAACATTGCTTGCCATTTCCCCTTTGCCCCCATTTTCTCCTCCACTCTGAAAGCTCTTCCTTGCATGCCTTTTTTATGTGAGAAAAATTTTGCCATTCTACCTCTCCCTTCCTTCTTCTCCCAGCACATCCCTCTTTCTCACTTCTTAATTTTTTATTCTAGATCATCCCGACATAATTGACTCACACCTATGCCCTCTGTCTATATAGACTCATTCTAACTGCCCTGATGATAATAATGATAGAAGTTAGAGGTATCATCTTTCCATGTAGGAATATAAACAGTTTAACTTTAATGAATCCCTAATCATTACTGGTTTATGTTTGCCTTTTTTATGCATCTCTTGAGGCTTGTATTTGAATATAAAATTTTCTATTTTGTTCTTGTCTTTTCATCAGGGCTTGAAAGTCCGCTATTTCATTAAATAACCAATTTTTTTTTTCTGAAGGATTACACTTAGTTTTGCTGGGTAGGTGATTCTTGGTTGTAATTCTTCTCCATTGCCTTCTGGAATATCATTCTAAGACCTCTGCTCTTTTAACACAGAACCTACTAAATCTTGTATGTTCCTGACTATGGCTCCATGATATTTGAATTGTTTCTTTCTGGCTACTTGCAATATTTTCTCCTTGACATGGGAGCTCTGGAATTTGGCTATAATATTCCTAAGAGTTTTTCATTTTGGTATCTCTTTTAGGAGGTGATTGGTGAATTCTTTCAGTTTTTGTTTTATTTTCTGGCTCTAGGATACCAGGGCAATTTTCCTTGATAATTTCTTGAAATATGATGTTTAAGCTCTTTTTTTGATCATGGTTTTCAGGTAGTCTAAATAATTCTTAAAGTATCATTTCTTGGTCTGTTTTCCAGGTCAATTGTTTTATCATGAGATATTTCACATTTTCTATTTTTTTATTTGACTTTGTTTTATTGTTTCTTAATGTGGAATCATTAGCTTCCACTTACTCAAGTCTGGTTTTTAAGGAATTATTTTCTTCAGTGAGCTTTTTCCATTTGGCCAGTCCTGCTTTCCAAAGAATTCTTTCCTTTAGGGAATTTTTGAGCTTCTTTCACCAATGCTGTTTTTTAAGGTGTTGTTTTCTTCAGTATTTTTTGTGCCTCTTTTACCAAGCTGTTAATTCTCTTTTCATAATTTTCTTGCGTCACTCTCATTTCTTTTTTTTCTTCTCATTTTCTTTTTTTCCCTCATTTTTTTTTTTACAATTTTTCTTCTGTCACTTATACTCTTCTAAGACTTCTTTTTGAGCTTTGGTCCAGTTAGTATTTTTTCTTGAGGTTTTGGTTGTCATTGTTTTCACATTGCTCTTTCCTTCTGAGTTTATGTCTTGGTCTTCCCTGCCATCACAGTACCTTTTTACTGTTGAGTTCTTCTTTTGTTGTGTGTTCATTTTTCCAGCCTGTTTCTTGACTTTGAACTTTTTGTTCAAGTTAGGCTTGGTTCACCTAGGGGTGGGGAGGTACTATCCCAAGCTTCAGACTTTTTCATGCAGTTATTTTCAGAAGTAGTTCTAGGAATTTGCAAGTTTTCAGTGCTTCCATTGTGGTGTGTTTTGTAGAGAGGTGTGGTCACTGCTTTCCTAGGTCTTTATTCAGGAAGGGCCCTTGCTCCCCTGCAGCCACAAATGCTAGCACTGCTCTTTCTCTTGGAGCTGTGACCAAGGACCCTGCTCCTTTGTGAGTGACCACAAGGGTCTTTTCTACTCTGGAACTTTGACCCAGAACTACTTCTGGGCAGTAGGGTTGCCAATCAGTGCCTGCTACACTTTGTGCTAGTAGCTGGCCCCCTGTACTTTCTTTCTGACCAGTTATCCAATCCCTTTAATGTCTCTTGACTAAGAGTTCCTGAAGCTGCTTGCCACTGCTGCCATGTTGCAAGGGGCTGTCATGGCTGTCACCAGATCCAACCCTTGTGTTGCTGTTGAAGCACTTGGGCTAGGTTCCCACCCTGGTGTTACAGACCTCTCCTGCTGACCTCTTAAGTTATCTTAGGTTGGAAAAATATCTCACTTGACCTTTTGTTGGTTCTTCCACTGCAAAATTTGCTTTGAAGAGTTTTTAAAAGTTGTTTGGAAGAAAATATTGGGAGAGTTCAGCTAGGTTGCTGCCTTTACTCCACCATCTTGGGTCCTTTATCCTAGCAGCTTGTTTAAGTTAATGTGCTATTATAATGTAACCATTATAAAATGGTTACAGAGATGGACTTAGAGCCAGGAAGAAACCTTGATTCAAGTTCCACCTCTGATAAATATTGGGTGTATGACTCTGGGCAAGTCACTTAACTTAGTGCTCTAGACAACTCTCTATGATTAGAAGTTGCATAAATGGTTCTGACTTACATTGGTATAGTATTTTCTCATCAGGAGTTTGCTATAGCAATAAAATCACAAGTCCATCCCCTAATCCTATCCCTAATAACTTGTTTAAGTAGGTCAGATTGTAGTGCCTTAGTAATGTGCCATATCTTTTTATCTTTGTTGTTTCTTGATTTGGTATTTATGTTTATCTTTGCCCTAATGAGTTTGATTATACATAAACAGCTAATTCAAAATGACTCACTTCTGTCAGTTGTTCCCTGTATTTTAAAATATAATCATTCTCATATTTAGTTATTTGTTATTCACCAGTGCCTTTCATCTCTCTTCTTTAAGAAAATACTCAGGACATATAGGCTTGTGGCTTCTACAAGCCTTTGTCCTCGCTCACTTCTTACCACTGAACCATATTTGTAACCTATTTTTTTACTATTCTCTGCTATGCTATCTTTGAAATCACCATGTATTAAAATATACATATATTGACTTGATTTGCAAGAGGTTTTTGTATTTTTTAATAGAAATTCTCTTTTTTGTTATCTGTGAAATGGATGTAATCTCATAAACTACAGTTATTATGGTTGTCTTTTTGCAAATACTTAAAACACTTCAAGATGAGTTGATCACATATCCTCTGAAATGTTTTTTTTTTTATATCCATAGTAGAATGATGCTGAAAATTCCTTTATCCCTCCAAGGAGGCATCCTTCCATTAAAGCTACAACTTCCATTTTGTCTTCTGGTTTCATTTATAGCAAAAATGTCAAGATTGTTATGCTTCAGTTTTGAACAGGAATCTCACATTTAAAGTACCAAAAGTTAATTTGCTGTTTAAAAAGGGTCTAAATCCTATGTAATTTTTAGCACCCCTTTCTGCCTTTCTTTGCCATTCTCACTACAGAAACAGAAATAGAACCACATGGTCATTTTCTGGATTTTATTTTTCTGTAGGTTGCCATGGCCAAAGAACTCATAACCAGATGGCCAGCCTCCTGTTGATTAGCTTCACTATTCAGCTAGGCTGGTCCTTAGAAAGGAATCATAATTTATTACTGGGACTGCACTTGAAGCCTTCCCAACGTGGTAGAAACTTCTAGAACTTCTACTTTGCTGGCATGGCCTTTGAGAGCCTAGGGTCATTCCATGTCACTATGAGGCATCAGGTGTGAGGAAGAGAATGTTTTTACTTGAAAAAAAATCACTTGATTAACAAAAGTAATTTTTTTTTAGCTGGAACAACAAAATGATTTCAGTTCGTGAAGCCAAAGCTCTTCCAAGACCTGATGGTGTTGAGTGGAGAAATAAATTCATCTGTGTAGAAGGTAATTTTTTTTACGCATTCTTACAATTATTTACCATTTTTTGGTGTTACTGCATGAATTGGTTGAATAATTTAGTTTGTGATTACATTTATTTGTGATGAATTTCATATTTTAGGGCCTTTTTTCCTTCTCTTTCAGGGCTACTTGAGGACATACAATATTCTATAATGAAATTATTTCTAAATTTATATTTTTAAGGGGGGAAAGGGTTTGGACCTCTAATTGCAAAAATATAGGGAGCTGATTCATGGTAAGGAGACTCTCTATACCGATGAAGATTGGAACCTACTCTGCAGTTACAGTCTCTGAGATTAGCTTCAGTCATTGAGAAGTTAAATGACTTACCCAGAATCACATAGCTATGAAGAACTAGTCAAAGATAGTCTGCTTTAGTTGGAGAAAATGGTGCAGTTTTTATTTACTCTTTAGTCTTTCACCTTTTGGAGCAATTTGGAGCACTTCCTGGTCAGTCATACTATTGATATAAAGTATAAGGTGCTTATACTTTAATATTTTTTCTTCAACTTTTTAGGCTATTTAGATATAAAAATATAAATGTTTTACTTGATTTTAGGTGTTAAATATTCAGGAACTCTTTGGATAAATTAGATCGTGATTAGTACATTAATTTAGATTAGATTGTAGTTTCATTGATATCTGTTTACCTTTTTGAGTTACAAAGAAAGGGAATTTGATAGTGAGGAAGCATGCTAACAGTGAGAATAACACTGGTGTTGGATGAAGACAACCTTGGTTTAATTCCCAGCTCTACTGCTCACTCTTGCTGTGATTTGCAGCGAGTCACTTATGTTCTCTCAGCCTGAATTTCCTCATCTGTGAAATAGAGAGAAGTAGTAGATGAACCCTGAAATCCCTTCAACCTCTAAACCTATTATCCTGTGGTCTTTAAAATGGAGATGATAATGTTACTTATACAAAATCTTCCTTATAGGGATGTTATAAGGATCATGTGTGATTGTCTACAAAAGTGATATCTAAATGTAAGCTGTTTATACACTCCATATAGTCATGCATGGATTGGGCCATGTGGTTATAACGTGCCTCAAGCAACGAGCATTTGTGCACTGTAGAATTGCTCTTTATTTAAAGCAAAGTTGAATATGTTGTATCCTCTTCAAATCATTTATATAAAGTTAAACATTTTTCAAATGATTTTGAAAATAGAAAGTAATTTGAAAACAAATATGAGGCAATATTTAAAAGATAATTAGAGATTTCATGACAGTGGAAAAAGTTCAGACCTTGAGTCAGGTTTAATTTCTGTTTATAAAAAGAATTACATACATTTTCTCACTTAATTATTATGACATCCCTGTGAGGTAAGTGCTACAGTTATCTTCATTTTACAGAAGAGAAAACTGAGGATTAAAGACTTAGTGGGTTTAAAGCCCATAGACTTAACCTGTCTTGACTCTAGTGCCTCTCATTTAAGTTGTAAATATTCTCAAACTTTGCATTCTCTACAGTCAGATAACAATAAATCCTTCATGTATTTGTGCATTTAAAAGGTAAGTTGTCTACACACATGCTAGTTTCCATTCCTGTATAGTATTTGTAGTTAAAGATATATGTAATCAGTTGTATCAGCTCTCCTATTGGAATAAACAATATGAAATAAATAATAAGGAATATGCATGTTTTAATCTTGGAATTTAAGTAAAAGGTATAGTGTAATTTCTTACTTGCTCTATCTTTTTACCAAGACAGATTAGGGGACAATAATAAAATACCCATCTGGGATTTGATAGCTAGAACTTTACCTCATCCTTTGTGGGAACTATAGAGCATTGGCTTCTTTCCTGGCCTTGCCTCCAGTTAGGCAAAACTATTTAAAGCTTCTAGAATAAAGCTGGGAACTCAAGTAATGCTGAGGAAGTAGCTGCAAGTGCCTGCTTCTTTGGTTTCTAGGGCAAAGATAACACCCTGGATTGTGTGAGAGGGTTAGGCTGGATGCTCTGAGGAACTCCCTGTACCACCTGCCTGTCCACCTGGCCAAGCACTTATTCACCTCCATGATGTTTTTTAGGTGCCTCCGAATGATAGGCAAGTGTTTCTTTCTAAAATTTTAGTATTTTGTTATTAATTTATGGCAGCTAGATGTAGTAAGAGTTTAGGCTAGATTTGTTAAAGTAACTGGATGATCATTAAAAACCTACGTGTATAAAAGTTATTATAAGTGAAAATAATTTAGAAGTGGCACCTGGCATACTGCTTTGGTCGTCCAGTGGTTGTTTAATAAATGTTTGTAGAAAATATTAAACATTTTGCTACTGGGCTTTTTAACTGAATTAAAGTACAAAATGAACATATATTTTATTTCCTAAATATTGGTTGCTTTAAAGTATCTAACCTGATAAAATTTGGTCTTTTATGGCAAACTATATTTTCCCATTAAAAAAATACTATAGTGCAAAACAAGTCTCAAATAATAATAGTCTTCTAAGCTGTGAAATACAAGAGCAGTGTTTGAAATTATTATTGACATGTTTATGTGACTATAATATTTGTTTCCATTTAGAGCATAATTTGGAATGTGTAATGTCACATTTACTTAGATTTTTTTTTTAAATAAAAATTGTTCTTACAACTTCATTAAAACAGACTAGTGCTATACCGGAATTATGGTATTGATATCCAATAAATTTTAGTATTCAATATGGAATCAGTCTGGGTACCAAAAGTACATAAAACTAAGTAGAATTTAAAACAGTTCAGTTGAAACCTCTTTCTGAGGATAGAGTTAGAGTATATCCTCCAGTATATCATCCTATATGTTTATAGGATAAGAATTCCAATATATTTTGAGATTGTTATGAAGAATTTTCTCTACTTAAACAGTATTTCTTTGTTATGTTTTTGTCATGCACTTGGATTAAACAAGTATTATTATCCATTTCCTTGTTTCATTTTAAGCACAAATTAGTTTTTCATTGGCAAGAATCTTGAATGAATATTTAAATATGGGTAATTAAAACTCAGCTTCCATTGAAGAAACAAATATATATATGTATATATATGAAGTCAAGAGAGTACTGGTGCATACCTCCTTCACCAGGGTCCAAGGGACTGTTTGTGTTTGAGGTGGTGTAGCATTTCATTTGAGGTTGGGCTTTATCCACTCACGCCTATTAGTATGTGTATGTCCATCTGTCACTCTTCCTAACTTCTTCCCTTTCATCTTCAAGTAACTGGACTTATTTTCCCACAGCTTCCTGGAGAGGGAAGAGGAGCTGCCAAAAACATGTGCCTCTACCTCAGAACTAGCAAAGGGCATTTGACAATTGTGCCCAAATGCCAGCTGGACTCTGATCCTTCATTGTAGCACATGCAGCTTGTTCTGTCACTGAAGAAGTACTTGTCATCATAGAGAGTGGAATTTGCTGGCATTAAAAATGTGTGCCTTTTACGAGTTCTTACCTTTTTTCTTATCTCTCTGCTTCTCATTTCTCTGAGAGCAAAGGAGTTACAATGTTACTTGTTTCCCTGTGCTGGTTCAAGACTATTGATCCACCACAGTCTTACTGCTTATCTTCACAGAATCTCAGGGTTGGAAAGAGAACTCAGACATCATCAAGTTCAATGCATACTCGAATAGGAATTTCCCTGTACAATATGCCTGACAAATGGTCATCCAGCCTCTGTTTGATTAACCTTAGTGATAAGGATCCCACTACCTTTTGAGGTTGCTTATTTTGCTTTTGGACAGCTCATAATTCTTATGAAGCTTTCCCTTATGTAAATCTGAAGTCTCTCTTTCTGTAGTTTCCATATATTGCCCCTGGATAGCCCTACTCTTTAAAGCTTAATAAGATGAATCTGATCCCTCTTCCACATAACAGCTTCTACAGCTCTTTTTTCACCCTTATCACCTTCCGTTATATCTGATGTAATTTGTCAAAATGATTTTTACAATATTGTCCTCATAACTGAACATAGTAATTCTAGATGTGGTTTAACCTATCAGGGCTCTCACCTTCCTCATTCTGAACTCTGTATTCATGAAGCCTGAAATTATATCAGCTTGTCATCTTGTTGTAATGAAACAGTCAGTTGCAGAAGTATAGGATGAGGGTCTTGTGGCTAGATGACAGCTGACATGAAAAAAAATCTGAAGTTCTTAGTGAGCTTATGAGCACAATGAGGGTTGACTTTTGCAGTTGATTATTTTGTTTCAAGTGTAGGAGCTTACACGTATCTGTATTAAATTTCATCTTAATAGATTTGCACTATCCTAGCCTTCAGTATCTTTTTGGATCCTATCTCTTTTCTGCAGTATATTAGTGATTTCCCTCTAGCTTTGTCCCATCTGCATTTTTGATAATTATGCTGTCTGTCCTTATCCAAATAATTGATAAAAATATTGAGTAGTGTAACACTAGGGACAGGTCACTGGAGCACTCTTATTAGAAGCCTCCTCCCAGATTGTCATTGCCATAAATTATTTCTCTTTGAATACATCTTACTGTTTCCAAATCAATCTAGTTGTATTATCAAAATAACCCACATCTGTCCAGCTTGTGCAGAAGATTACTGTGAGAAGTATACTCAAATCCAGCTCTGATGTTATCCATAATCTTCGTTTGAAGTCCATGCCATCTATTTTACCATCTTTGCTAGATTACAGAATCACAGGTTTTACCACCTTTTTCAGATTCTTAAAGCCATTGTCTACTATAGGGTTCTTTACAAATATACCAGCCTAGTAATCTGTCTTTAAAAAATAAAGTTAAGCTATTTGTGCTAAATCCAGGGAGGGCTGGCTTATAGTGATCATTGGGTTTTTTTTTTCATTAATTGCTCATAAACTATCCCTTTAATAATTTTTTGTAGAATTTTGCCAAGAGTTCAGTTAAGCTCATTGTATTATAGTTTTAAGAATATGCCTGCTTCCCATCATCATTTCTTGGAGCAAAATAATCTGCCTTCTCCTTTAAGGTTGGATCCTCTTATGGAAAGAACCTTTAAGCATTACATATTTCCAGAGCTTCAGTGGTCTTTACTGTGCTCTTCCTTCTCTGTGTCCTCTTTTGCCCTTCAACCTCCTGATACAGTTCAAAATGTCCTTCGGCCTCTTCAGATTCTTTCTTCCTTGTTTTTTTCCTCTTTAAGCACTTCAGTGTTTTTCAAAGAACACTTCATTCTCCTTAATAATCTGAAGATTTGAGTTTCTTTCACTCTTTCCTGGTAGAGAAAACAACCTAGATTTTCTAATGTCATAATAATAGCTAGCTGCTACCTGACAATGGCAAAACTACAAACACAAAAAACCCCACAAACCACCCTCTGAAAGTTCCACAAAAATTTCTCTTATCATCTGTCGCTGTTGTAGCTCATTACTTTGTTCTCAGATCTTTTACTTATTACTATTGTAGCTAACTGCTCTGACAGATTGCCTGGTTTATACTAGTTGTTAACTTCTTGGAAGCTCCTGAACAAAGCTTCATAGCAACATCATATAAGCTATCTGTATCATGGACTTTCTGCACGTCTAAGGTGTACTCTGTCTTTTTCATGACAATACTTAGCAGTATGCCCAGTGGCCCTCCTTTGGCAAAGTTTCTGCCAAATCCCTAATACTTCTCTGGCTCTGTGGTTTATCCTCTTTCCATTTACCACTAGGAGTTCCTATACCTACTTGCCTATGTTCCATTTCTGCACTGAGCTTTAGTATATTCTAATGAAGAGTTTGAAAAGACACTAGGGTGTCTAAATGAAATATCCTTTGGCCTGGAGTGCAAATGAAGGTCAAAAATGGAGATTAGGCTTTAGAGGCCTTGGGCACAACTGCCTAGTAGCTGAAGCCATGAGAATAGATGAACTCACTGAATAGATGTGTTTAAAGAAATACACAAATTTGAAGTAAACAGAAGGGGGAAATTTTAGAAATTGTGTTTCAGTACATCTATAATTCCATGACCTCCTCTTACAAAATGTGAGTATGTACTAGCTTTATGACACTGGAAAAATTGTTTAACTTCCACAAACTTCTGTTTCCTTATTTATAAGATAGATTTAAGAGTGCCTACTTCATGAGGGTATTGCAGGTACCTTTGTACTTTGTAAACCTTGAAGTTTATTATTTTTATTCAGCAATTTTCAGCCATGTAGCATCATAAAGAGAACATTGATGATGGCTTTTGTGGCATCAAGCAACTTGTGAATCATTGAAAACACTATGTTTCCCAAATGCAATACTCTTTCTATTCATTTCTGGGCCTAGTTCATTGTTGGCCTATCTTTTTGACAATCTCTTCCCCTTTTTCCACTCTGTCATACCTCCTCTCTCTCTTCTTCCTTCCCCCCATAAACTGCATTTTGTAATCTACAATCTGGGCAATACGTTTTCAGGAGTATTAGAAGCTCTGAGTCTAAACATCTGTATTCTTTATTAAAATGCAAATGGAGTTAAGCTTTCAGGTACATACCTCCTTTCACTAACCTATCCCGTATTCTTGTTAGCCCATACAAAATTACTGTGCCTCTTTTTAGTATCAAGACTGATGCTCATCCATTTATCTCACCTTTGGAAAGGAAATCCTACTTTAGTCAGGAATATAATCTTATTCCAGCCCATAACTTTTGGATTTGAGGCACTAATGTGGACCATTAATTTGTATAAAATATATTATTTTACATCTCAAAGAAAAATTTCAGACTGTTGTTTCTGTCTGAATCTCACTCTGCTTTTCTAAGAAACTCAATTGCACCCTCACTGCTGATGAGCAGTCTTCTGTGATTGGTTCTCTTCTACATAGAATGATTGTTCTAAATGTATATTAGTGAATCCCTACTTCTGTCATCTCCTTCCTCCCCTTAATCAGATGACCTCACTTTTTGTTTTATTGAAAACATCATGGCAATCCAGGATAAACTTCCATATCTATCCTCAGAATCACTCTCTCTAAATATCTTGCTGGTTATCCTCTTATCTAAGGAAATTATGTCCCTCTGCCTTTCTGAGGTTAACATTTGCACCTGTGCTCTTAATCTCATGCCTTCTTACTTCCTCTAGGACCATGTTCTCTTAATTGTCCTCTGTCTCTAGTATTTTCAGTTTCTCCCTCTCTCTCTCCATTTTTCTCTCTGTCTTTCAGTGATACTTTATATCCTGGAAAAATTTTCAGTTGACCCTACTGCCTTTTAGCTATTATCTCGTTTATTTCAACAGTAAACTTTTCAAATGAGTAGTTGGAATTTGCTCTATTTCCTCACCACCCATTCTTTACCCCTCTATAATCTTAACCCCTTCTTCACTCTACCATAATCTGACAAGTCACCAGTGATTTGCCATATCCAGTAGGTTTTTTTGGTCCCAATTTTTTTCATTCCAAACACAAACAAAGAACATTTCCATAAACACAGGCAAGCACAAAAGAATTATATATGAAACCATTGATTTGCATATAATATTGCTTACTCATGCTCCCTCTCTCTGTGTATATGCATATATATGTATACACACACACACACACACACATATATTTATATATATGCATATATGTATGTAAATTCTACATGTTACTTTAAAAATTGTCTTGCTGGTCTTTGCTTCATTCTGAAATTCCTTCTTTTCTCTACTATGCATTAAAAAAAATTATCAGTTTTACCCCTCACCCCCTTTTTCACATAATTATTGTTAACTCCCTGGCAATGCCTCCTTTCCTTCATTTAAAAAACTGAGAGAAGCAGTTGGGTGAACCCCTTTTAACCAATAAGCATAGTTAAGCAAAAAGAATCTATATATTGTCCATATCTGAAAATGTATGTCTCTACTTTGTGTCCATGATTTCTCTGTTAGGAGGTAGGTAACATGCTTCATCATAAGTCCTACGCAGACTTGGTTTGTAGTTGCTTTGATTAGAGCTCTTAAATCTTTCAAAATTGTTTTTCCTCTTGGTGTTCTTGTATAATTTGTTTTCCTGGTTCTGCTAGTTCTGTCAGTTCCCAATACTTAGGATTCTCTGAAATTGTCTCTTTCATCATTTATTATAGAACAATAATGTTATGTCACATTATATTCATATGCCACAATTTGTTCAGTAATTCCCCAGTTGTCTAAGAGTAAGCTAAGGCAGACACGTAAATTCTGGTTCTTGCTTTTCTTCCCCTACCCCACCCCCTCAGATCCCTTCTCAGGCTCATGAAGTTTGCTTGTTTACAGCTATTCTCTCTTCGTATTTTCCCCCATTTCTGCTTAATTTTGTTGTATTCGATATATCTCTACACCAATAATGGTATCTTCAACCCCTTTTTTCCATTTTACATAAAAATGAGGTTTATCTAACGCCCATTCCCTCTTTCTACTTCTTCCATGTTTTCGTATACCCTTCTCAGGTACTCCAGTTATGAGAAATATCAAATTCAGCATCATCTTTCTACTTCCCCCACAAGTGTATATTCTTCTTTTACTCTCCCTTCAGTCCCTCAGAACTGACCAGTTCACCCCCATGACCTCTCTTTTTCTTGTTTAACTCTTTAATACCTTTTGAAGACATAAAGATTCTAAAGGGATAGTTGTTTATTTTCTCTCTATTAGGATGTTAGCACTACATCATCATATAGCTCTTTCCAGTTGTTAAAATCATTTTGCCTTTCTATGTTTTTCTGGACTCTTGTGTTTGTATTTTAAAGCTCCTTCTTAGTTCTGGTATTTTCATCCAAAATGTTTCAAAGTCCTCTATTCCACTAAAGGTCCATTGTTTTTCACCTGTAGGTTTATATTTAGCTCTGCAGAGAACATTGTTTTTTATTGTAAGCCTTTATCTCTTTTGCCTTTTGAAATATTATATCCTGGGTTCTCTTGTTTTATAGTAGAAGCTGTGAAGGCTTGTGTGATCCTAACCATGGTTCCTTGGTCTCTGAACTCTCTTTATGGCTATTTGCAGTCTTTTTTTTCTTTGATGTTGAGAGCTCTGAATTTTAGCTATGACATTTGTAAGACCTTTTTTAGAGATTCCTTTCAGGAGATGACAGATTATTCCTATCTTTTCTTTGCTCTCTTGTTCTAATAGATCCGAAGTTTTCATTTATGATTTCTTGAAATATAGCATTTAGGCTTTTTTTCCCTTTGATCATGGTTTTCACGAAGTTCAGCGATTCTTAAATTTTCTCTTTTTGACCTGTTTTCCAAGTCAGTTGTTTTTGATATCTGAGATCTTAAATTTTTTCAATTTTTAAATTTTGTTCTAATATTGCTTGTTATCTCACAGAGTTAATGGTTTCTAGTTGGTCTATTCATGTTTTCAGGGATTTTGTTTCTTGGACAAAATTTACCACTTTCTCTTAGAAACTGTTTTTCTTCCATTTCTTTCTTTGAGCCTTTTATTTCATTTTTTTCCTTAATATTCATGTAGTCTTTATGGAAAGTCATTTTTTTCCTTTGAGTCTCTGCTTAGAGTTGTTATGGAGTTGCTCACTCCTTCAACCAAATTTTGTTTCCCCTTCTTTCTCCTTTCTAACTTAGAAAGGTTTGGTCTTCCACACTCACAACTTCAACTCTCACATCAGTGCTTATGATTTCTAAATCTGTCTTTACTTCACACCTAAGCTTTGGCTTTGTAAATCCAACTTACCACTGGACTTTTCTACTTTTTTTTTTACACTGGATAGTATATACATGAAGATATGAACAGTAAAATTTTATATGAGCAGTAGTTTTAACAAATTCTTACTGTGCGCATCTAACATTCCAGAACCATTTGATGGAACAAATACAGCCAGAGCTGTGCATGAAAAGCAGAAGTTTGACATGATCAAGGATGAATTTCTCAAGGTAAATCAATGCTTCAGAATTGAAAGTATTATTTTCTTAGGTTTTGGTGAATTCCAGAATCAGTGGCCAAATAGTATTTGGAAGACAAAAAAACATTTAATATGAAACACTACTTTTTTATAATCTTTAAGAATAATGTGTACCCTGTATTCTTATACAATAAAAACATTTATTACTTGGAATTAAATAGACAAGTCCAAGGAAATGTGGGCATATGTGAATTTGCATAGTAATTTATACTCTGAATAATATCCACTGCAACCTCTCAGGAGCTAGAAATAGTCTTTGGAATGCTTTCCACTAGTTTCTGGGAGTTTTACTGTAGATGTCTGACTTAAAAGGACTGCATCTCTTCTACCTGTTTGTGTGTGAACCACACTAAGCAAGAAAAAATGCAGAGCAGTCGGCATTTACTTACTCTGTTTTGCCCCATATTTATGTGCCCAATACAGTAGTTCCTTTTGCCAGAAATCTTTCCCCTCTTCCTAATGTCATAGTATAAAACTCTAGTGTGGTATATTTGGGGAATTAAAAAAACAAGCACCTAAAACAAAAGTTGTAGGTTCATTTAAATTCAACAAACATTTGCTGAGTTTATATTATGGGTAAGGTATTGTCCTAGGAACACAAAGAGTAAACTAATTAAACTGTGAGGGTCCTTTAGGGGTCATAAAAAAAATAGAGAGAAAATGGACGTTGTTTGTGAGATAAAAGTGCCATTGTGAGTGTTAAAAGCAGTGCCTGAAATTTGGCTTTCCCTAATTTGCAAGTCAGAACAAAAGTAGAATGTGTGGCTAGGAGCATTGTTTCTGATGTAATAGAAACAACACTGGATGTGGTATCAGTTTTTGGATTATGGCTATGTACCTTGTAAAGTGTGCAGATCATTTAACTTTTCTGAGCCTTGGTTTCCCCATTTTAAAAGAGTTTTATCCTTTTTTTAAAACTTCATCATAGCTTCCCAGTAATACTTTTTCATCTACCATGTGGAACCTTCCTTTTTAGCAAAGAAGTAGAGGTAAACAAAATAAATTAATAATACATAGGCTATGTCTGATAGCCTATTCCTCATACTACCCCTTCAGTCCAAAACCTGTCTACCAGGAGGAGAGGAGAAAGTATGTTTTATTATCAGTCTTCTTGTTTGAAGATTGACCGTTAGTTTCTTCTGTTTCTTGCCCAGCCTACCTTACAAGGGTTATTGTGAGAATCAAGTGAAAGGTGTTTTAAAATACATATTACTTCCACTTCTAAGCAGATATACCTTTTTTAAAGTCCTACATGATTCCCTCGTTGAGAAATGGAGGTGACCCTGAGTACTCAAAAGGCTATGCAAGCAGTGGGCAAGCCATGGCAGTATCTACCAAGTTGGAAAGACTTGAGTACCAACTAAACTAACTAATCTGGGAAAATTGGTCCCTAAGTGAATGATGATGAATTTCTTCACACTTTCTGAAGATTGACAATTGAGGCATAGAGGTTGAGGTAAATAAGTACACTTAGAGTAGCTTTTAAGCATTTGCTTATCAATATTAACTTGTTAAACAAAGTTAATTGATTTTATTGATATATAGCTTTTTGTACAGATAATGCTACTAATCATAAAGTTCACTGATTAAACTCAGAACATATTAGAAAGAACTTCAGCTTTTGCTAAATACAAATCTTGAGTAAGCCTAAAAGGACCCCCATATAAAAATTGTTGATGACTCTCCTTTGTGAATAGTGCTCTTGAGTTCCCAGTTACATATGATATGGGGTTTACCATTTTAGTATTACTCTGATTCTCCTTCCTTGTTGGAATAGTGAAATTATATAGCTAGTGAGGTAAAGAATTATGAAAAAAAGCCATTATTTTTTAATTGTTGAACTAGATCAGGTGAAAAATTTAAAATCGTGTTACCTGTTTCTTTGAAAGGTAATGAATATATAAATAAAGCAAATGTAGATTTTTAAGAATGCTTTTTTTTTCTCTTTCCCAGTCATGGCACAGATTGAAAAGCAAGAGAGACTTGAACAGTATATTACCTTTAAGAGCTACTATGCAGAATAGATAACTGGCTTCTAATTCATTCCTAATTACTTCTGAGAAATAAAGGATGTTATTAACACCTCAATGTATTTTGTTCCCTCCATCATGGTTTATTTTTAATTAATATTTTCTTTTTTCAGATTTTGTTAAAAATATTTGTATAAAAGATTGCATATTTTATTATGGCATTTGCTACTATAAACCTTAGTTTAAAAATGCATTTCTAAAAATGTATATACATTGTTGACTTAAGTAAAGGCTGTTTTGCCATAAATTTCAGAACACAAAATTAACTGTATTTATGAAAGTGGTCAGAGCAATTAAAAGGACTTCAGAAGGATCAAAATGTAATTATACCATATTAACACAGAAGACATTTGTTAATTTGTGGGAAAGGTGTGATCAATTATACTCAAAGTTTAGCAACATTCAGTTGCTATTTCATTGTCCAGATCTGCTGCAAAATGAAAGTTGAAGCAAAAAAAAAAAGTTGACATAAATTTTTTTGTTTAAATTTCTAGGGTAGATGGGGGCCTTAGGATTTGACCATGTTAGCATAGGACAGGAGAGTACATTTGGGTTACTATTGGAATTACTTTTTCTTGTTGGAACAATAATACATTTTGCATCATAGTCCTATGAACACTGTACCCATTATGATCGATTCTTTGGAAAAATCTACTCAAAAGTTGACATACTCCGGGTATTTATCGTAGCTCAATGCAATGAGCTGTTTTCGTGTACTCAGCATTTTTCAATTTTTATTTTCCCTGTGACGTGAAACAACAGACACTTATCAAAGTTAAGGTTATATCAGGATTTTTCTGAATACTAAATTACAGGAATTATAATCTAAACTGGAATTTTTAAACAGTAAGCTACTATAAAATATTTTAAATGATCCATCACAAAATGAATATATGTAAATGTTTAATAATTGTAAAGAGTAGATCAGGTATCTTTTTTTTTTAAGTATTTCCTTTGCACATGAAGAAAATAATGGTGACTGCTGAAATAGCTGCTAAAATAAGCCAAGGTTTTTTTTTTAAATTTTGTGTAAATATTTGTAAATTGGTCAGCCATTGTAAATTGAAATATAAAAAGTAATTAAAATTTTTTAACTTTTTAAAAAAGACTGTATGAAACTTCTTTTAGACCTGCTGTAGCACAGTTTGTGCCTGTAATGTGTTTGTTGTTGCAGATCAATTCATATGTCTAAACTATTGCTTTTCATTCATTTCAGGAAGGTTCACATGTTCATTTTCCTCTTTAAGTTTAATATTTTGTATGGTGTCAAGTGGAATAAAGTTTATGTATGGAAAGTGTTAGTTTTTCCCTATGAATTTATGTTAATTTCATATTTCCTAGATAATTCTTATCATTAAATGGCCAGGATAGGTAGGAAGACACAGAAAATTTCACATGTATATTTTCTCCCCAAAGCATTTATAACTGACTCAAGAAAACTAAATGATTCTAAAGACCTGCATGTAATGCTATAAGGTTACTCTCTATGACCTATAAATAGTCTTAGTTTTTTCAATTAATTTCAACAAGTATTTCTTAAGCACCTACTATGTCAGCGTACTAATCTAGGTTCTAGGATCTTTTGATAACTTAACAAGTGGTTCCTATTTTTGTGTTTCAACAGTCTTATTAACCCTTTTATCATCATTCTTATTAGTAAACTTATTCGCATTATTATACCAGACTGTTTTGATAACACAGTGTCCTAAATAGTTTTTCCTTGCTACTTAAATGTAGGCCTGAAGATGAAAATTAACTGCAATACAAAGTATTTGTTAATCTGGTTCTGTTAGGGATGAATATGTTGTTTTGCCTAAATTAATTCCTCACTTTGTTGAAACTTAACCCTTCAAGCAGGAAAACTTAATCTAAACAATTTTCAAAAGATTGACTTATTGATGCTTTTTTAAAACACTGCCATTTCCCAATACTGACTCACCCCTTTCATCCCAGACTTTCACTTGTAATAAAGATACAGTTAAGCAAAATAAACCAGTATGCTGACTGTATCTAACAGCACATGTCCAAGTCTGCACTGTTCTCCACCAAGAGAAAGATGTTCCATCATCAGTCCTCTGAAAGCAAGTTTGGTCATTACATTGATCAGAGTACCAATTCTTTTTCATTTATTTTCCTTTACATTATTGTGTTCATTATGTAAATTATTCTCACTGATGACTACATCAGTTCATATGTCTCCCTCAATTTTTCTAAGTTATGGTTATTTTTATGTACTAATAATTATATTATTATACTACAATACCAGATTTTTGCCACCAAAATGAAGTTATCTCTAGGACCTTTCTGTCATTGACCTCCTGGGAATCTCTGCCCGTTAGTGGAATAATTATATATCTTTATAACTATATATGTACTATATATAACTATATACTGCACCTTGTGGTGCAGCCAAACTATCCTACATTGCTGTTTTTGACACATAGTATACAATTTCTTTTGTTGCCTTTTTACTGGCTGTTTCTAATTCATGCGATGCATTCTCTCCCTGCCTCCTCTTAGAGTCTCTAGTTTCCTTCAAAGTTTGACTCCAACACTATCTTCTATGTCAAACCTTTCCTGATTTCTCCCTCCCCCCCACAATGCCAGGAATGTAGTCCAAGGTTGGTCTTAGCAAGGATTGATTGACAATAGGATAAAGGCACAAGGGACTGGATTGTTGAGGATAGTGTACAATTGAATTGGTTCACCAAAGGATTGTAGTAAGGAAGTGGAAGGAGAATGTAGCAAATATAGAGTTGATGACTTAGGAGAGAACTGAGAAGTTGGTCATGAGAGAACAAAGAACAGGATTAGGATTATAAGGCAGTGAGAAAGCTAGAATAATAAAAGACTTGGATCAGATAAAGGAATATCTATTGTGCATGAATGTGGGGGCAGGACGCATGAATGAAAGCAAAATCAAGATCAAGACCATCTCTACAGAGCTGAGATGGGATAGAAGAATAGCTTGTGAGAAACAGATGGAGGAACTGGGAAGTTAGGGTGCTTTGAGGAAGTGTTAATAAATACACTGAAATCCCCTTGAATAGTGGTAGGAATTGGGGAGAAGAGAAAGACTGAGCCAGACACTGAATTCATTGGGAAATGGAGGAGAGTGTCCTGGAGTGGGGTATATTTGGATCATAATTTAAATTATTATTGAATTAGTACAGTTTATATATTTATGATTTATATATACAATATATAATACAATACAAATTAAATAAGCCTGGGAGGAGAGAAGAGTTTATTGAGTTATGGTAGTAGGAGACTGAAAGTGGCAATAAGGGAATGGGGGGTGGGGGCACAGGGTAGCATGAAGTATTCTGGGAATATGAATAGAAGTGAAACTGGTCCTAGAAAGGGTAGCCAGGGACACTTGTGTTCTTGCTTGCATTTACCTTCTTGTTAGTAATTTGGAGCATTTTTAATAGGGTTGATCATTTGCATATCTTCTGAAAGCTGTTCGTATCCTTTGCCCATTTATCTGTTGGGAAATGACACTTGGTATATATTTTAGTTTATTCCATATATGTATGTATATATATATATGTTGGAGATCTCACTTTTATCTGACATTTTATGCAATGTTTTTCCTACTTGACAGTTTCTTCATGGATTTTGTACACCATGCTAAAGCTTTTAAATTTTATATAATTAAAAAAAATTTTTTTTATCACCCCCTTCCCTTTCTCAGGTAAGAATTCCACTCTTTTGTTCTACCTTTTCCCATGACCCCAGATGTGAAATGTACCCTCTTCCATTCTCTGACACTTTTTATGGTGTAACTTCTTTTTTTAATATTTAGTTCTCATACCCATTTGAAACTCATTTTGATACATGTTATAAAGAATTGGTCTAGGGGCAGCTAGGTGATGCAGTGGATAGAGCACTGGCCCTGAAGTCAGGAGCACCTGCCTTCAAATCTGGCCTCAGATCGAACACTTGACACTCGCTAGCTATGTGATCCTGGGCAAGTCACTTAATCCTAATTGCCTTAAAAAAAATCAAGAATTGGTCTAAACCTAATTTCTATCTAGCTACTCTACTGTATTTCCATAACTTCTTGTTGAATATAGGAAGCCCTTCCCTCTTCTCAGTAGTTTGTTTATGACAGTTTCCTACGAATCATTCTGATCAGTAATTTCGTACATCATTTATTTTATTGTGATGCAGCGCAGTGAGGTCCCTGGGTGCTGGTAAGATATATGGAGCTTCTTGTTCTTGTACCAGAGGGCTTTAGACACAATTGATTTTGCTTCTCTTGTCTTGCCGCTTTTCTGTATGGCAGCTTCTTAGCACATTTTTGCTACCACTTATCTCATTGTACGCTTTTAACAAATATAGAGGCTGATTTCAAGAATTAGTTTTTCATCTAATGAGATAATGCTTATAAAATGGTTTGAAAGATCAATATCAGGTTGAGTTGTCCTAATTTTTCACACAGTTCTATATTTAGATTTGCATCTTCAGTGTGGAATAAAGTGCATGAGTTATGTGACAACTGTTTTCATAGGTATACTTTCCATTTGTATGCCATTGTTTTGAAATGGTTGAAGTTGTTAGAAGTCTCCTAGCCTGATAAATGGTATGTTGTAGACTTTTCAAACATAATATGTGTTAATCAGAATTTGATCAGCCTGGGCACTCCTAACCCATCTATACCTCATTTTTATGTGGTGCAGTTCTTACCTATGTCACTCCATAAAACTACTATGCAGTACTCTCCAATGTGCTTGAGACTAGAAAATATTCCTTTTTCTCATTATTTTATGGCCTACAGTGCAACACTTGTTCTGTCTGTCCACTTTCCCTCTGCATGATCAACTTATTCCCTTTTCCTAGAATACACATCTTTGATGATTATGCCACTTTTTAAAATAAAAATAATTATTGGCAATATGCTGAATTCTGCTTAAGAAGATCCTGGGTCCTTCCATTTTACTTTTTGGGTCATGTGAAATTATGATTGGGATAAAAAGAAAATTGTATTCAATTAGTTGAAGCCATATAGCATCAATGGAAGAATACTAATGTTAAAGGATGGACTTTTGGGGTCAGTGAGTGGCTTGGGACCATTGTAAACACCGAATAGTTAAATATGCTCCAGCTCAGTCTTGTCCTATTCAGAATCACAGAATTTGAGTTCAGTGGAGGGCACCTTGTCTCTTCTAGAGCATCACTGACAGGAGGTCTTCCATCCTCTACTTGAAGAACTGCAGTGATGGGGAACCTACGTCCTGTCCTTCGAACAACTCTGATTGTTAAAGTTTTCCCTTTCATCAAGCTAAAATGTGCGTCTTTATGATTTCCTTCCATGGTTCCTAATTCTTTCTGAGCTAAAGCAGCACAAATTATCCCTCTTTCAAGTGATAGCCTTTTAGGTACTTAGAAAATAGCTATCAAATTCCCCTCTTTTCTTCCTCCCCCTCCCCCCTTGGACACTTTCATCTTCTTTGCACTAACCATTGCCAATTTCTTCAACTTATCCTCATGGCTTATTTCAGTCCTTGACCTCTTTGGCACCTCAGTTTCCCCATCTTCAAGGTAAAGGCACAGTTGGACTAGATGACCTCTAAGGCCTTCTCTTCTTAACATCACCGATAACCATGATGGTGTGGTCACTGATCTAGAGCCAGATGTCCTGGAGAATGAAGTCCAGTGGGTCTTAGGAAGCATTACTAACAATAAGGCTAGTGGAAGTGAAGGAATTCTAGCTGAGCTATTTAAAATCCTAAAAGATGATGCTGTTAAAGTCTTGTACTCAACAGGTCAGAAAATTTGAAAAACTCAACAGTGGCCATTGGATTGGAAAAGATCAGTTTTCATCTAAAGAAAGGCCATGCCAAGGAGTGTTCAAATTACCAAAAAAAACCCAAACAAAAAAACTCTGCTTATTTCATATGCCAGCAAGATTATACTTAAGATTCAGCGAGCTAGACTTCAACCATATGTGAACTGAGAATTATCAGAAGAGCAGTCTGGTTTTCAAAGAGGCAGAGGAATTAGAGACCAAATTGCCAACTGGATTATGGAGAAAGCAAGGGAGTTCAAGAAAAAACAAAAACAGGAACATCTACTTCTGCTTCATTGACTACACAAGTCCACAAAGAAATCATCTTGTAGCAGAATACCACATCATCTTATTTCTTGAAGAGCGTGTATGCAGGCCAAGAAGCAATAATTGGAACTAAACATGAAACAACTGATTGGTTTAAGATTGAAAAAGGAGTACAACAAAGACTATGTATTACCTTATTTATTGAACTTGTATACAGAGTATATCATATGAAAT